GTTAAAGCCTCTGCCTTCGGCTCAGGTCATGGTCTCAGGGTCCTGGGATCGAGCCCCGCCTCAGGCGCTCTGCTCGGCAGGCAGCCTGTTTCCTCCTGTCTCTCTCCCTCTCTCTCTCGGCCTACTTGTGGTCTCTGTCTGTCAAATAAATAAATAAAATCTTAAAAAAAGAAAAAGAATACACTTCCGGACTTCCCGGCAGCCTGCTGTGGTCACATGACCGCATGCAGGCCAACGGCATGTGAGTGGAAGTGACATGTACTATGCCCTCAAGGGGAGGCGGCCAAGGGAGAAGCCGAGACAGTGACCAGACAGGACCGCGAGATGAGAACGCACACTGACCGCAAGGAGCCCACCGTCTCCCTCCTGCTGAGTCGAGTGCGGCTCGGTGTAAAAGCATGGGCGGGTGGCCCCCCCACGCTCAGGTCCCGTGTCTCTGAATGCACCCACCAGCCCCCGTGGAGGGTCACAGCCTGTGCCACCTCCCTTCGCTCTCAGGCCTCCCTTCTCCACGCCAGGTCCTGGGTGTGGGCGGTGAGTCCCTGTGCCCAGGGTTCCCCAGTCTGCCTTGTGATATGAGAAGGCGGGGTAGTAGAATGTAGGACACGCTCTTGTGTCCTTAAAGCCTCTGGACCACTGGGAGGCCACAGACTCAGAGAGCCTGTCTTGGAAGTCAGAAGCTTTCTCTCTGCATTCCTGCCATAACATCCTAATCCCCCTGTGGTGGACTGCTGCTTCTCAAGGAAACAAGAAAGGTCAGACACGGATGCGTTCAGAGCTGCTACGGCAGAGACCCAAGCAACGCAGCCCGCACAGGGAGCCCCAGTGTCTCAGGCTCACCCGCTCAGAGAAGTCCCTGTGAGGCGGTTCCAGGACGGTGAGGGAGAGGTCAGTTCTCGACCCTTCTGCTCTGCTCCCCTTTGCACAGCAGCCTTCATGTCACAAGACAGCTGATGACATCAAGAAAAGCCGTGACCACTTACCCTGTGCCAGACCTTTCCCTTACCCCAGCATCTCATGCCCGTGAGCCTTCAGAGCTGGCCCCGCTGCACAGACAAGAAAACTGACACGATGCACGAATTCTGTCCTTTTACACAGCAAGAATCTCACAGGCAGGGTGGCGCCGCGGTGTACAGTAACTCCACGAGGGACTTGTTCCCTTCCCCGTTCTGCTCAGCCAGGAGCTCTCTCCTCAAGCTCACAAGATGATCACAGCAGCTCTGGCCGTCACAACAGCCACAAGCGTGCCGGTCAGGACGAGCGATGAACGGACGCATCTGCGCACACACACGCTCGTCCCACAAGCCCTTCAGAAGGCTCCCATGCAGGATCTACCGACCAAACTCAGGTCACGTGTCCATGCACCAGCTGCGGGGCACTTAAAAAATGAACACCTCCTGACACAGAGAACGCTCAGCCTGCGCCTGTCACACAGGGACAGCCTGACAGAGGGGGCCAGTTATTTCGGAGTGTGTGTGCTTGGGGCCTGACAGACCCTCCAGAGCTAGGCGGTCCAGTCCGGCCACGGGAGGCGAGGACGAAGGTTCGCGGCACAGGAAGGAGGTGGAGGCCCCAGCCAGGCAGTCGGCTGCCGTCAAAAGATGATGGAAACCGTCTTGCAGTGTCAGTCTCTCCGAGGACCTCAGCCCCAGAACACCTGGCCCTGGCTGTGGGCAAAGAAGAGACGGCAGTTGTCCTCTTAACTCCCTGATTACTCCCTGATTACAGTGCCTAATTTTTAAAAAATGTTTGCCAAAGCCCAACCAAAACATGCTCTGATGGCCTCTAGACCTGACCCTTGCCTTCCATATACACATCTACTCATGTTCGAAGCTGATGTCTTAATGTAAAACCAATCTGCTATCTTCACCTACATGGAATGATGGCAGAGCAAATTTACCATGGTACAGAACTAATTTTTACAACATGTGTCCTGACGCAGGGTCCATCTGATCCAGAGAGGGGGGAAATGGCCCTAGTCCGCAGGCCGGCGGAGTACCCTCCACTCCAAAGCGCCAGCCTTTCTGTTCTGCCTCCGTGTCTGCTGAGAAGTTAAACGCTCTTTCTTTTTCGACATGAAGGTATTGCTGTGGGTCTCAACCTTCCAGAACCCCTGTCCTCGGTTTCCACCCCTCCTCTCCCCGCCGTGAGAACATGGGGCAGAGTGGCAGAGCAGAGCACAGGAGTCAGTGGGGGCCCATGGACAGGCGGTGTGACCGCACCCCCAGGCGGTCCCTCCCTGAGTGACAGACCGCCAGGAAAAGCAGTGGCTTGAGAGGACAGGTGTTTGTTGCCTTCGCAAACCGGAAGTCTCGGCAGGGCAGGGTGGGAATGTTACCGGTGGACCCGCTCCCAAGGTAGCGCCCCCGCACGGCTGTGGGCTCTGGCCCCCGGGCAGATCTGGGGAGAGAGACTGGCACGCACCATCTGCCCCTGCATCAAAAGGCTGGGGGTTCGGAGGCCAGCTCTGTTGTGCCTGAGCTGAGTGACCTCAGGCAAGCTCCTCAACTCTCCTGAGCTTCTGTTTCCCCAAACACAAAGCGGGGTCACCCTGCCTGACGCTGGGGAACCAAGGAGGTGAACGCCGGACGGGCTCTGGATTCCATTTACGTCAGCGCCACTACGTGTTTTCCCGCCGGGGTTCTCACGGTTCCAGAGCAAAGCCACTCAAAAAACCGGTGAGCTCCTCTACCACCATTCGATGCTGCTGCAAGTCCCATTTCCGGACCAAACAGGACTCAGCAGAGCAAGCAGAAACGCTCTTCTCTTTCTCCTCCTCACTGCACTAGGCTCCATGAGATACCTAGTTCTCTGCTCCCGGACGAGCCCTCGGCGCGTCTGCGGGTGCCACACCGGTCTGGCCCCACACGCAGAACTCCTCTGCGAGGCTCAGTAAGTCCTGCTTGTGGGGTGTCCTACTTCGGTGGCCTCGCCTGCTCTCTGGAGCCCCTGTCCAAAACTTAAGAAGACACATGGTCAGTGTCCTGGGAGCACCAGCTGGGCCCCTGACGACAGCAGCAAGCCCTCTGTGGCATTCTCTCACACCTTCCCACCCTCCGGGCCAGACTGGGGGCTCAGGATTCAATTCGCCCCTTACTGCGTGACCTGCCTCTCCACGCCCAACTTTCTCATTTTAAAGCGGGGTGACTATCATATTCTCACTGCGAGTTCTTAAGAGCCACATGAAACGTGGCTAGGATGGAGGGAGCCACACACACATGAGCTGTGTGGGCCACTCTGCACCTGTTCTCTCCGGATTCCTGAGGTCAAGACCTGATTTGCTCCTGTGCCTCTGTCAGTGCCCAGGGCGAGGGGCGTTCCTTCCAGGGGACACAGGACACCGGAGCAGGACTCTCTGTGAGTGCCAGGAGTGGGAGGTGAGACAGAACCCTCCCTGCCCACAGGACATGGCTGTTCTAGTGGGGATGTCAAGGCACACAATAGATCACAGTGAGTCAAGACAATATGATCTCGCTGTGTGTCAGTGAAGGCTAGGGCAGCCCCTCTGTACAGGTGACATTATGCTGAAATCTGGCCAGAAAGGAGCCAGGCCTGAGGACAGGTGCAGGCAGGGCCAAGGCTGACTCCCCTGGGGCTGCTCCTAGTTCCTCACTCCCCCACCCCCGCCACACCCCTCCCCAGGCTTCTCCATGCCCTAGAGCTGGGGATCCAACAGTGAGCACCATGGGCGCTCTGGAACCCTGGTCCGGCATGTGCCACTGTGGGGAAGTGACTCAGTCTGTCTGTGCCTTGGTCCCCCACCTGCTGCTGAGCGGACAGCACAGACGGGTCCTGGTGTTCGGTGAATACTGAGCCCACGAGTCCCAGCGTTTGCAGATCCAGCAGCACTGGGGAGTTCTCGGGGATGTGGGTGCCCCTGCTCCATGGAGCGGGTCAGCCACAGAAGGTTCCTGCCGGTAGAGGATGAGACTCAGGGACAGATGGGGGTCCCCACGGGTGGAATCCTGTCCTGGAGGGCAGGGGCTGGGACCATCTGAACAGCCCTCGGAACTCTGAGTCAGCAGCCCCGTGAGTGTTTCTCGGAAAGGGTTCCCAGTCCCTTCCCTGGAACGGGCGAGACCCCAAACTACACCAACGCTGCCCCCCCCACACCGGGCCCTGCCTGGAGCCCCAGCCTGTTTCCACGCCGGCGGGATGGTTTACCCACTGGAGTCACTGAACCCTTTCTGTTTGTTTCGTGAAAAAAAAAAAAGGTTCTGTTTGTTTTAGCCACATTGTTTGTTGTTTAAAGGAATGAAATAATTAGAACAAGAGGAACACTCTGTGGGCTCGGATTTTTATCTTCACGAGCATGTAAAACCTATAGATCCTGCCATCGTTCCTTTGTCGACCAACGCGGCCGCAGCAGTTTCACTCGTGGCCATACTGACTCATCCCACCGCGTCTTCTATTTAACAAACGCAAATACGGAACATTAGAAATCTAAGTCCGTCTCAGCTTCCCGGGGCCCCATAACAAGCCCCACGAACTGGGTGGCGGAAACAACAGACGGCCTCGCGGCTCCGAAGGCTGAAGCGGGGCGTCCGCAGGGGCGGGGGCTCCCCCAGAGGCTCGGGCGGGAGTCAGGCCGGGCACCTTCAGCGTCTGGTGTCGGCAGCTGTCCTTGGCGCCCCTCGGCTATGGAGCCTCTTTGGGTCCTGTCTGCGTCTTCCTACCTGTTGAAAAACTTCCTTTGCCCGTCGTTGTCCAAGTCGGACCAAAAACCCGGGACAAGAGGCCTGACTGCGTTCTGCCCCAGGACACACTGACGCCCTCGAGGGGCTGGCTCTGCGCCCTGCCGCGCCCTCCCCCACCTGCTGCCGGCGCTGCGCGGGGAGGGTGAGGAGCAGCGCTCCCGTGCGCATGTCCCCGAGGTCGGAAACACGCAGGGACGATGAGTAACTAGCTCGAGGTCGCGGTCGGCGGGGCGGTGGGGGCTGGGGCCCTCCCTCGCGGTGGAGCGCCGCCTCCCCCCACACACACTTAAGTGTGTCCTATGCTCAGCCCCCGTTCCTGCTGCCGTGACAGGCCTCACAGCGGCGCAGCTCCCCACCACGGGCGCCCACCACACTGTCTCCTGGGAGGAGCGCCAAAGTCGCCCCCAGTTCCAGGCGCCCCAGGCCCCACGTGGATGAATGTCGCCGCGGCTCCTCGCTGGGCCCTCGTGACACTCAGTTCATGGCCGCGGGCGCGTGTATTTGAGGCCCATCGTGGACCCTCTACAGCCGTCGGTCAGGACACCAGCCAGGGAAGGTGTTGACTCACCCACGCAGTGCTCACACCCAGGGGCCCTGAGAGGGCAGACCTTTAGTGCAGAGGTCCAGGTGAAGGTGAGAAGGGCCCCCAGGGGACTCCTGAGTCCTGCTGGATCTGAGCGCACAATCCACTCTCCAGGGCGACTGAACGATCCCCCCTGCTAGGGTCCAGAGACTGTCCCCAACGACACGCCTTCCCACCAAGGCGCAGCCCTCCCCTGGGACCCAGGCCGACCCTCCCGCTGCTCTGGCCGATGGAATGGTGTCTGCACATCAACCCAGGTCTTAAGGAAGGCAAGAGGCCTCTACATCCTCCCTCCCCGAGTCCAGGCACCTGTCATTAGGAGCCGGAGCCACGGGAGGAGAGCGAGTCACTCTCACGCCGTCCCACCTGCGCTCCCGGCAACGGCCGGCACCGACCGCCAGCCAGGAGAGCAAGCCAGCTCGCACACGCAGCCCACCGACGCGGGGGCGCGTCACGTGGAGCGAAGAACCACCCAGCTGAGCCGGCCCATCACAGAATCCTGAGAAAGAAGACTCGGTTGCCGTTATAAGCCTCTAAATGTGAGGGTGCTATCTTATGTGTTAAGCGGCACAGAGACAATATCCAACAGAAATGCACACATTTGCCAAAAGACATGTACTAGAGCATTCTTAAGAGCACCACTGGCGACGGTCTCAAACCAGAACCACGGGCACATCCCTCCATGACAGAAGGAGCAAAGGGCGTGGGTCAGAGCGCGTGATGGGACGTTCCACGGCAGGGTGGATGGACGCCCTGTGGCTCCCTGCAGCAGCCTGCGTGAGTCACGGGTGTGCGAGTCAGAGCAAAGTCCCCATGTCACACTCTGTACAACAAGTCAGGATGCCCGGCTGTACCGAGTGAGGGGGCGGTCGCCTCCGGCGCGTCGTAATTGCTTTGGGCAGCTATGACAGAAACACGACAGCTTGGGGGCCTTACGCAACAGACTGATTTCTCACAGCTCTGGAGGACAGAAGGCCAAGACCAAGCTCCTGGAGACTCAGCGTTCAGTGAGGACCCACGTCCTGGATGAACAATGGTGCCTTCTGCCTCCCGTGGTGGCTCTCCGGGGCCCTAATCCCATCACAAGGCTCCACACTCACGCCCTCATCACCCTTCTTGTACGCCCACCTTCGGTACCATCACACGGGGACTGAGGATTTCACACCCCAATTCTGGGGGTCACTGTAGGGGCACGGCCGCAAGGGGGCACGTGGAGCTTCTGGGGGCCGGGGATGACAGACCTCTGCGAGCTGCGTATAGAAAACACTGCCTTTGAGAAAACTCATCAAGCTCACTTGTGGCCTTCTCTGCTTTATGTTCTACTTCAGTAAAGAGTGTACTTTTACAACACAAGTCAGACATTTTCTCGTCACCCATTGCTTCGTAGTGAGTCATGGCCATGTGCAGTAGCTGTACGATTTCTCACGGCTTCCGCGGGTCAGCAGTTGAAGAGGGGCTGGACTGGCCGACTCCGGTGCAGGGTCTCCCATGGGGTCCCGAACACTTCAGGCTCACCTGAAGGCCTTGCCGTGGCCTCTTTCCTCCACCGAGCTCACCGCCGCGTCGACTTTCTTCAGGGCTCTTCACTCTAGAGAATGAGCTCTCCCGCCCAGTTGCCCTTCCTTGCTGCTAACCACCTGCCTCTCCCCACCAGGACGCACGCTCCTTATGGCCATGAGGGCAACGGCTAGCGCTCAGTAAACATTTGTAGAATGAAGAGGCAGGGAGGTGTTGAATGCAGAGTGAACATGTCCTTCGAAGCACACCCTCGGTGCTGTTAGATGCTGAGGACCGGGACGGGCCGCAGTGAGACGGCACATCACAGGCGGCTGGACACACGCCCCCTAGCACCACGAGCGGGGCCCTCCCTGTGTTGTGTGGTGTTGCATCAGACGGGCTCCCAGTACCCACTGCCCTCCTCCCATGTGTCTCCAGGTCTGGAGAGTAAAAGCACTATGTTTCCCAGACTCCCAGCAGCCCACGGGCAGGGGGAGTGACACCCAGCCAGTGAGATGCCGCTGGCCAAGGTCTGGAGCAGGTGCCAGCGCCCGGCGGCTCCACAGCTACACGGGCACGGAGACCCGGGGGTCTGTGCACAGCAGGCCAGCGTCCAGTCACGCGCCGTGGCGAGTCCAGACGCGAGTGGGTGGTGACTTCCCGATCCCGGCTGGCAGGCACAGCCGTGGTCCCAGCTTCGGCAGATCCGGAGCCACCTCCCGCCTCCTGCCCAAGGGAAACACGGCGCTGTCTCAGCAGGTCAGTTCTGCGTTGTGCACGAGTCCATTCCGGCGGCCCTGCTAGAACACACCCCTCCCTCTGATGATTTGGGAGCCCCGATCCCTTGTATTAAGTCCTACTCTGTGGAACACGCTTGCAGGGAGGGCACCATCATGCCACCTGCCAGGGCTGGGATGTCTGAAAGGAGGGTGTGAACGTGCAGTGCCCAGCTACCTACAGGTATGGCCACAGGTCCCCAGACAGCCTGAGAAGACCGGAGTCCGGCCCATTACCACCTGGACGCTCCGGCGACGAGCGCACAAAGCTTCTAGACGTTTAGGACATCCGGGTGGCTCCCTGCCTCGCTCGCCTTTTTGCCCACGTTTTGGGGAAGACCCAGCTGGCGGCTCGCTTCAGTGATTTTACACAACAGTGAGCACGGAATTCGTTTCTTCTGCCACATGCCACAAACGTCTGTCTTCATGCGATCGAGTCCTGACACGACCACTAACGTCGCTCTGCCACACTGGGCAAGCCACTTAGCCCTCCTAGTCTTCATGTTTGTCACTACAGGAAGACAGAAGGAACCAAACCCTATCAAGCTTCCTTCCAGCTTCGAATGCCGAGAATTCCTGTCTATTCTGCTGTGTGTTCTGTGAGTGTGTACGTGTACGTGCGTGTGTGTGTGTGTGTTAATGCCCCCTTATGACCAGTGAACTCTGCACAGCTCCCTGTCCCGGTCCCCACCCTGCCATGTTGGTGCCTACGAGCTCCAGAAATGTTACTTTAAACTTTTTTAATATTTTTATTCTGGAAAGAAACAGGGCAGGGAGAGTAAAGACAACCCGACACCGCCCCCCCGCCCGATGCCCAGTTCCCACAGCTTCTCAGCCTGTGCCTACTGTCCTTCCATCTCTGCCCTTTGGCAGGCCTGTGCCCTTGGCCTGCTGTGAGGGAAAGCCCCTCTCTACACCTCTCACTGAGTACCTTTACAGAGCAAGGACGGAGCTGGGTTTCCTGGCAATGCAGTTGTGGGTCAAATTAAGCATTCTGCATCCCAAGTTGTCTTTGAATCTGGGTCACCTCTTCCCAAATCCTGTTTGGAAAAGTGCCCTTATCAAGAACAGATGCTCCAGATGTTTCACAGATACTGGCACATAAGTAAGAACACAGCCCCGACACACACACTTTTTTTCAGAATGCAATTTTTAGAACATCAGGAGTGACTCCAGGGTGGTCTGAAATCAACCGTTCTCAGAAAACTATGAACTTGATATGAAAATTAGGCGATGTATTTTAACACCTACCCACACCGGTCCCCAAATTCCTGCGCTATCACCTACAGCTCCTCCCAGACGCACCGGCAGAATCCCGCACCTGGTGTCTCTGTTCAAGGTCTGGGACAGCAAGGAGTGCTTAGGCAGGTCCTGGGCTGGCCCCTAGCTCTACCCCTCAGAAACGTGTGACCGTGGGCCAGTCACAACTTCCCTGGGCTTCTGTAACCTCATCAGCAAAATGGGAATCATACTCTCCAAGTCTCTCTTGTGGGCCTCTTTGGGGACTCACCAGGTAACAAAATACTCGGCGTGGAGCCCGGCACAGAGGAAGGACCCGCACGCAACACTGCTGTCCCGCCTCCCAAACCGCACGCAGGGCTCCCTGGGCACCTGGCTCGCTCCAGGTCGGCTGTAGGCTCGCGGGTGCAGCTGACACCACGGACCCAGACGTGATCCCCAACAGGAAAAGGTGTGTTGGTTGCCCGATCCTACCGGATTTCCTGCCATTTCCTCACCGCTCCAGCAAGCCTGACACAAGAAAGGCATTCAACCTCATCTTCGAAGGAGAAGAAAGCCCAGGAAGAAAACCACGTTTTAGCAGAGGGACTTTGTCTGCACAAGAACCACGACTCCGAGGCTCCGAGGACACAGTGGGGCTGTTTTGGGGCTCCTCACCGGAGCAGCCGGCCCGCCGGACAGTAAACGTGCTTCTGATGAAATACATGTTTTGGGCAGCGGGTTCTCCCGCCGTAACAGGCAGTGTGCTTCCAAGACTGTGTCAGGCTAAACGCATTTGTCATCTCAGATGCGAGACCCTCCCAGCAACGCAACAACCTGAACAGTAACAAGGACGCCAGCCCTGGGCAGGGAGGCCCGGCTTCTGAGTCAGCCCGCGGCGTGTCCGAGCCGGCGCTCTGGGGCCACTGAGGCCGGCGTGCAGACCATGCGGTGGCATGCTGATGCCCCAGCTGCCCGCACCCTCTCCTCCTTCCGCCTGGCAGAGCCCCTGGGTCGTACAGACAGTGTGCCGCCCAAAGAGCCTTGGGCCCCCGATGTGTGCTGGCTGAAAACAATAAACCACATGTGTACTTCCATTAACCAACAAAAGTCACATCTCGAGACACCACTTAACAGGAGCTCCCTGCAGTTGTACCTGCTGAATGTCTCCTCAAACCCCAGCGAGTCCCCAGGTGGGATCTCATCTCCCACCTGGGGATCCAATGCCCGAGAAGCACCTGGGATGTGCTTCCTGAAGCTGATGGGGTTGGTGATGCCCCCGAGAGAGACAAGCCAGTCGAAGCAAGGAGGGTCACACCATCGAAAGTCCGAGGTAGAAGGCCTGGACTTTGGCATGCGAACACAGAAATGCTCATTTCCTGGAAGAAGAAATGGAGGCTTGGGGACAGGACGCGGCCTGCTAGCACGGGCACCAGCACCAACCACCCTCCAGAGCTTCCCTCGCAGCTGCAAACACCTCCAGAGACGCCCTGGTGCCCGGAGACCAAGAAAGGCTGTGGGTACCCCCCCTTGCCAGGACCTCTGTTCAGAGGGACCCCGGGATCCCCTGTTGTCTCTAGACAGTGCAGAAGAAGGGGACGTGAGTGAACCGAGAGGACGGCACCGCAGGGCAGCGGGGAGGTTGCCCTAAGGAGGCAGTGCCAGGGATCAGGGGGCTGTATGTGTGTGCGTGTGCGCACGCGCACATGAACGTGAAAAAGGGACGTCCATGGGGAAGGATGGAGACTGCTGTCCCACCCAGCCCAGAAGCCAGGGAAGTCAGGCCTTGACCAGTAGGGGTGGTGGCCACAGCCTCTTTCCTCTAGGACACACCTGCCCTGCCCTGAGAGGGGCTATTAGCCCTGTGATTAGTTTACTCCTTCCCTCGGGGGCCTTGGGCAACGTTTAGGCTGGGGCCTCCCTCTTCTCATTTGTCCAAATATTTGCAGCTTGTGGGTCATGTGGTCACTTCTCTGAAAGGCTACATTTGGGGTGGTTCTGGCTCAAACCATCTCCATCCCCTCAACACTGCCATGGCCAAGCTGAGAGTCCCCAGCGTGTCTGGAAGCTCCTGGTGACATCCAGGTTGTTGGGAAAGAGGCAGGGAGTGAGAGGCTTGAGCAACTCCTCTTAGGGGAGCTCTGCACTGGGGACCCTGCCTCTGCTTCTCAGCTCCCCCGGCCACTCTGGGGCAGTGTTCAGAGATGAAGACCCTGGGGCCTGAGCAAGGGAAATGGGACCCAAGCCAGTGGCACAGCGGATGATGGTCTGAGCCCCACCAACTGGGTCTGCCTCCGTCCTCCTCTTCATGGGGCCTTCCTCTGTCGTCAGGTCGTCACCCCGGCAGTCTTGCTTCATCAGCGTCCTCCTGAGGTTTCCCTTGGTCGCCATTTACTGACCTCTCCCTGTGGTCAGCAGCTGGGCTACTGCCTTCGCATTCACATCTGATTTAATTCTTCTGAGTCCCCCAGAAGGGGGTCTGACTTCTCCCATTTTACAGATGAGGCTACTGAGGGGTGGGGGGTCAGATAACACACCCAAGGCTCATGGCAGAGGCAGAACCACGCTGAAAGCCGACGTGCTCAACCTGCCACCTTCCAGACCACTCCCCAGCAGAGCTGCCATGCAACCTCCCTACGAAGCTGGCATGGGCTTCCGAGAGGCAAACGGGCCACGGGGCTGGCGGGACTCGGAACGTGGGAGCTGCGACCAGATTCAGTGGATGTTCAGCGCCCCTCTTCGCTGAGAAGCAGTATTCCTCCCCAGGGGTGCCTTCAGGGCCTCGGGAAGCAGCGTGGAGGCCGCGCCGGTGCCAGGCCTGGGGTGGGGGCACAGGCGAAGCCGGAAAGGGCTTGGAAGCACGGCTCGTCCTGCCTGGGGTCGCCTGGAAGCCTGAGCCTGTACTTACTTCTCCCTGCTAAATAACAGCTCTGGTTTCTGCTAAAAGGATTCATTCCCAGAGCACAATAATTTTCATCTCCTCCTTGCTACAACCCATAGTTTATGGCTAAATATAAGCCATAATGAGCCGCTGGCCTGATAGCATCGTTAAGGAGATATTTGACCTCGGGTTTAATTGCAGGATGGAATCAATGGTTGGGCCCGCCAGCGCGCAGGCGAGTTCAGGGCTCCGCATCTGGCATCCGCTAGCCCCAGGGAAAAGCCCTGGAGAAAGTGATGCGGGCAGGGAAAGCGGCTCTGGAGGCTCCCGGCCCGCTGAGTAGGGTGAGAGCTCAGGAGCCTGGGCGGGCGGGGGTGCCTCCCTGGCCTGACCCTGCAGCCGCCTGCTTGAGTGAGCCCGGGCAAACGCTTATCCCTGAGAGCAGCCTGCAGACTAGTCCCTCTTTAAGCCCAACCTTCTGCTTTCCAAAGCCCTCCAGAAGATGGCTGCCCCCACCCCCACCGGCAGAACGCAAGGCCAGCGGGCTTGGCACTGGGCTCGAGATGTGCCTTGCCACCAAGCTCAGAGACTAAACACCAGTTTGAAGTGTCCCCAACATAAACTTCCGGCTTGCACGGGGGCTGGTGACTGGTGAGGGAAGCTGGGGATGAGGCCACCCCAGCACCTGCAGAAAGCTCCTGCCACAATGAGAGCATGCTGGGGCCGCAGGGCGCCAGAGCGGGGCCACAAGGAGGAGGGACTCGGAGCAGCAGCTGCATCAGGTCTCCCGCCACTGGGCCCATGACCCCAGCACTTCTGCGAGAAAAATGTGGCCTGGCTGGAGCCTGTGA